AGATGGAATGAAGAATAGATTGAAGAATACGATTCCCTTCCGTTATTCCTTATTCCTCTCAAAAATAAAATGTTTTTATTTAACGCATTTTAGGGTAAAGATCTGTAATGTTTGTAAATAATTTTAAATCAGACTGAACATTTCATTTACAATTTTGAATTTGTGCATAAGGTTTTACATAAGGTTCGTTTGAGGATAAACGAAACAGCTGATAACTAGTTGACCGTGATTGTTTGGTAGGATGATTAGGGCACTGATAACGAGAAAGGATTCATACTACTGTCCGTATCTTGTTTGTTTGGAATCATAAACCTGTCTAATGAATTGCAATTCTATATTTTGTGAGTTTATTTATTTTTACTGTCCAGAATAAGAATTAGGGACAAATCATGTTTCAGTTAAGGATTTTTTAAATACGGCAGACACAACTGAATATGACCTAAAATAAATAAATAGGTAAAGAAAGGTTTTAGAGTCAAGTTGACTTATTTTATGATAAATCGAATAAATTAAACTCTCGTTAATGATCGAGGATGGATGAATCAGTGAATGCTAGGGATGAAAGTTTGAATGTATGGGATTAGCAAAAGGTTAGCGCGTCTGTGGTACGAATGTTCACACTCATAATCTGTTTTTATTTAGTTTCACACGTCACACTTGGTACTTACGTGGCCCGGGACACACAGGGTACTTCACGTTGAACATTGACACTTGTTATTTTTGCAACTTTATGTACACAAACATTATTATTATGCTCCATTTTGGTTTCGCCTTAAGCGCACTTTTGGGAATATACAGGAAAATGAGAGTTTAATGTTAAGTTTTGTTTGACATAGGTTTTTATACAATTTCGTGGTTCAGGATTACTAGGTCATATAAAGTTAGTTTAAAGTAAGTTTTGGGTACTAACAGCATGTATTTAGGTTAAGAAATGTAATACTTTGATCTGAGAGGGTCTAAATGAAAATGTCTGACTTTAGTTTACGATCAGTTTGCCGTATTTTTCAGAGTGAAAGTTAAGTTGTCTTATCTTGATTATTGTTGTAACCTGTCATATGTTAGACCGAGCGATTGCAGCGCTCTGTACCCTGGCGGATGGCAACGAGGAAATCTAGAACTATTGCGATTGTTGCCCGCCAAGTAGTTGTAATTCAAACGGACGCTCCTGCGTCGGAAAACTTTGATTTCTTTGAATGAGAAAATGTATAAATTATGTTTGGTTTTATTAGATGAAAATTTGTAATGTTTAGAATAGCTAAGTGAGTTTATTTTTTTATAGGCTTGTAAAATTTTAAAAAGCAGGGGAAAATGTTATGCCAGTACGTAGTGTGTTGTGAAATTTTAAAGCCTATTTTAATTTGATTTGAATTTCCCGCCCTTAGCGCCACCTGCGGTGGCCGAGGTCGGCAGTGCTTATCTGTCCGTTGGGTTTTAAAATCATATCATTGTACTAGTGGGGGTGCTGGCTACAAGTTGCATGGCTCCTGTGATTATGTAAGTTTTACAATTATTTAGTTTAAGGATTATTATAGTCATGTTTAAATGCTTTTTCAGGTGCCATAATTTAATTGAGATACATAATTAACCAATTGGTACAAGTCTTTATTCACTGTTAAATTTCGTTTGCCACGTGAGGTCAGTCAGCCTGTTTCAGTTTGTAATTTCTTGAATAGTAAAACATCAGAAGAGTTTTGAAAGCTGTATAAATTTAAAATGAAAATTATATAACTTTAATATTAGGTTCTGGTCAAATGTAAATTTTTATTCAATTTAATGTAACTTAACTCAATGAATGATTTTTGTATTGAACACTTTATAAGAAATCCGAATCAATGTTTTATACCTTTTATGCTTTTCCAACAGGTCTCTTGTAATATTAATTTTATTTTAATTTAAGCTTGTGTTAATGGTTTTGCAGACGGGAGTCAAATTTGTTCAGCTAATTCTTAACATGGCCCAGCCCACCCCTGCTGTATTGAGTAATGTACCATTTCATAATTTTGGGTACTAATCACAATTAAGGCTAGCATATGTGTAAAGGGTTATTTGGTTTAAAAATTAATAAATTGTTGAACCGTAATTCACTGAGTCGTTATTATTCGACTCCCCTTGTTCACGGGTCAACTTGGCGACCCTCTTGGCTGATCCACAAGCTAAAGGAAGTGGATCTAAATTCACACCATAATTATATTCGATTGGCCACCCTGGAATAAGACTTAAGTCGACATATCAAGATGAATAAAAAGTTAAGACTACTCACCGACACTGTTACTATTATTAAATTTAACTATTTAACACAACTGAAACATTTGTGTTAAAAGCGAAACTCATTTGTCACAGAGTTTAGCAGAAGCATTAGTCGTGTCATTCCCGGTTAAAAGACCCTAACTTGATCAAAAACACTTGTAAAGATGTTAAATCTGTTGGAAAAATATATTTTGAAAGGGTAACCTTGTTATTTTGGACCGGCTTTACCAAAATGTAATAGAAAACTCACGTACAGACTTAAGCCAAGATGAATAAAACATTTGTGATAAAAGCAAAACTCTGTGAATTCGGCACGGAGTTTAGATTGATGCAGTATATAATTTCTGCTAAACAACGTGATCCTAATTTTCCCTTAACTAAATTGAAAAATTAACCCTAGATGCGTATTGCACGTAAATTTGACGTAGTGTGAGTTATTTTTTGCTTCTCACCCACCCGACAACACCCTCTTCCCGGCAGTGCTCTCAGCAGTCATTTGCCTTGCGATGGCTGCCTTGGTTGGGTCGTAGTGTGTTTCTGTAAAAATGCACTTGCTAGTCAGTTTCTTGGAACGCATACATCAAACTTACGTGTCAATATCCTTTGTGAACAGTAAAATGGCCAGCCTGTGTATGGTAAAACGGCCGGCAGCACGTCAAATTTACGTATTGATACCCTTAGTGTAACACTGTATGACGATACCTAACTATGCAATTCCTATGTACCGGTACATCAAATTTACGTATTGATACCCTTAGCGTCATGCTGTATGACGATACCTTTCTAGGGTTAACTGAATGAATGAATAAGAACTAAATAGCCTACCGTACTAATATAACTCCACGAAATAACACCAAAATTATTCATACAGCTGTCATACATAATAAATTAAATCCTATTTTGCTTAACTGAATCACTACCTATCTTGAATCTCAACAGATGTAAACAAATCAGCGACATCCAAACTAGTCACGATTTCAGACGCTACTGTCACAGTCTGCTTGGCGCCGACTACGACCGAAACTAAGAGTAAGTTAACAAACTTAAAGACACATAGAGCAAGCTATTGTTTCTCTATGTGTTGTACCCTCAGTTGTCTGCTTATTATTTACGTTTAAAGCGGGGAATCACGGTATTTGGCAATTAAAAATATTTCTGCAAAGTTTCAATTTCACATCTTTTATCACTTTTTAGAAATAATTAAGTGGAAAACACAAAATGGCGGCTGTGTGAGTAAGTAAGGACTTCCGAACAATTTAAATATGATATTTGGATATGTTTCTTGGCCAGGAATAAATAACCTAGAAAATATCTGAAACCAATTCAGAAACACCCTGTATATTACACATAAATAACATTTTAAAAGGATCGTTTTTTTGGCGGGTCGCCAGAAGACTGTTCCACGGACAACTACCCCCCCCCCCCCAAATAGGTTCCTACGTCATGTTGACGCCAGAGATCGGGGTAGGGTTGGGGGGCCAGTTTTCCAGTCAAGGACACTCAAGTTTCGTTTCAAACCAACCTAACCTAACCAACCAAGTCCACAAACTAACTACGTCTATATACGTTCTATAAAACATAATGTAGGTAGGCTAAAATGGAGAGGGAAAGAAGCAAAGATGAAGGGGTTAAGTTAGTATTTTCCAGTCCAATCACACCTTTTGGTTTCGATTTTTTTTTGGGGGGGTGGAGGGGGGATGAAGAAAGCCAAACAATTTATTTCCAGAGTAAAAGAAGTGCAAGTTATATGGATAAAACTGAGTCGGCTGAAAATCATTCTTTTGAGGTAAGTTAGGCCTAGAAGTCAAATATTACTATACGGAAGGTCTGTCACCGTTAGGAAGACAAAAAAAAGTAAAAAAGGGGGAATTAATCCATCGATTTTGCTGATATTCAGGTTGTAGTCTTGGTGAAATCTAAGTCCATCGAGTTATGTAGTAATTTTAGGTTTTTTATAAACTAGCCGTTTCAGTTCAGTTCTTGGAATTGGAAAGATTCACTCTGACATCATTGTTTAACGCACTCGCTAAGGCTTGTACGGTAGCCTACCTTAAATTTCTACTCGTGTTGTTAACACTATCTTTACATGATCTTTGCGTAAACTGTAAACTATTAAGCCTATTACATCAGTGACAATATTGATTGTTTTACCCCACGAAAATTGAAGTTTATGATACCTGCTTAGCGGATGGTCGAAAATCGTTTGGTCCACCGTTTATATTACCGTTCGTTTGGTCCACCAGTTACAGAATAATACAAGTGCAGAAGGGCACGTTGCCCATATGAGCCATATAGCAAAAAATTTATTAATATTATTATTGTATACTATGGCAGATATATGAATGCCTTTAATGTGAGGGACGCAATAAGTTAGTTCATACTGGTGGACCAAAAGAAATCGTATTAGAGTGTTAGACCAAAGGACCCGATCGAATGGTCCACCGTGAAACGTACAGTATAACTTATTTCATAAGTTTACTCCACAATGCAAAATTGTACTTCAGGATTTGACTGTAACTTACCTACTTTTGGATCAAACGATTTTGGGCAAAAACAAACTGTTTTACAACTGGTGGACCAAACGAACTGTTGTACAACTGGTGGAAAAAACAATTTTGGACCAAACGAACAGTTTTACAATTGGTGGACCATTCAATTTTGGACCAAATGAAATGCTCCCCTTAAAGCATTTAGATAAAGATATTTTGTACCTTCACACAAGCTTCTGTTAAATTTACTGTTTAAGTACTTACACTTTTTGTAGGAACTTCATTTACAGCTGTTCTCTCAGCTTTTACAGCTGTTCTCTCAGCTTTTACAGCTGTTCTCTCAGCTTTTACAGCTGTTCTCTCAGATTTTACTGCTGTTCTTTCAGCTTTTACATCTGTTCTCTCAGCTCCTACCACAGACACCAGCTCGGCAATGAATTCTTTTTTCATGACTCTGCTGGAAAAAAACCCACTAAGTTAAGAAATGGTAGGGAAACTACCGTACCACTTTAAACTTATTAATAATTTATATGATAAATGATTCTCTAACGTGTTGGAACAGAAATTTGCTAGACACGTCATGCGCGCATAAGCCTTTGCCTCTGTAAATTACTAAGAACACAGAGGATACGCGTCCGGCAGTTAAGTCACCAGGTTGTGGGGGCCCGGAGCGCCACTACCACAACTATACGATGTTAGAGTGCTCGGCTGATTTGCAAGAGGTCCCCGGTTTGAATCTCATCGGTACCGTAACTTTATCTTTTTGTCAAAGATTTTCTTTGAATGCCATTTCTTCCTAACTGTATCTTTTGTTAGAATATTTGGCATTTACAACTTATAACTTAATTTTATTTTATGACCGGAATTTAACCTTCATTAGATTTCTTCATTACCAGCAAGTTTGGTTGGATAGGTTAGGTTATGGCAGTAACAGCCGGACGCCTAATCCACGTCCGGTTACGGAACGCATAGGCTATCCTCTGCGTACTAAGAAACCAAATACCGTAACTTAGGGCCTAAATGTAATTTAGCCTAGCCCTACTTACGATCTAGAGACTGTATGTTACTAGGCCTAACTTTGATGACAAACCGGTCCACTAAACAAACAGGTTGAAATTTGATCTTACCTAAGTTAGGCCTAATTTAGTCTAACCCTGTGTTGTATCAACAAAATCTTTTCGTTACGGATCTTGTCATATTATTTTAGTCTAATTTTAGTCTATATGTAACAATCACACCTAGTAACAGAAACAACGCATTTACAAATTAATAATTTTTAACCTACCTAAGTCACTTACACAGTTTTTGTTCAAATTTGTTCTTGTTCATTCATCGTTATTTGTTGTTATGTTGTTGTATTTTCCATTAATTTAAGTTAAGGTTATGTTATGTTTGTTGTCGTTGTCATCCTTTCCTCATACAGTATTCCTAATTCCTATTCCTCCTTGTCTTGTCCTGATTTTTTTTCACTGAGCTAATTTGCTACAGTATTTGGCAGACTTTGGATAGACAATACAGCTGTATGCTGCATAGAAACATGAAAGCTTGTTTTATTATTAAAAGCAGTCATTTACACTAGTACAATCAGTAATCCAATTTTGTTCAATCAAACAGGGCCAAGGTAAGAAAATTATGAATGTTGGTCATAGTGTAATGAAATAATAAACCACTGTATTTGTGTTCTTTTAACAGCATTTTTTTCCTAAAGATCCTTCACTTTTTAAATTTACATATTTTTTTATAAGAACAATCCTGTATACTTGTACAATGTGTAATAACAGTAGGTGCAATCAATCAGTAGCAAGGTGAGGTTCGTGGTCTATTCTCATAAATAACAGACTATCTATCTTGGGGCCAGGGTAAAGGAGTGGGGGAGCCGCCGCAACTGCTAGGCGACAGCTGGTGACAGCTATCTTCACGGCCGTTTAGTGACATCAGTGTTTTAACTTTTAAGGACAGCTTTGTCGCCACTTTCGAGGCAGATTTTTTGTTTCGTATAGGTACGCCAAGCCTATCAAGCATCTTACCTGTGTGCAAGTTATATACGATACGAGCGTTTTGTCTGTTACGTCAGACCCTCTAAAATCAGTGTCAGAGTAAACAACGCGTCCAAACCGGTAAACTGGCAGCAAAAACGCGGCATAATCGGACAGCTTTGACACCGCATCAATTTACCTCATGCCCACCACACACCCCTTGCGCATTAGCATAGATAAAACATACTCCAGTATGTTTTATCTATGGCATTAGTATCTGTTGCATCGTTTATACTGCTCGTAGCCTAGGCTGTATACCAACTTTACCACCGAGCGTCAATGACTAGGTGTTTTTTTCGGATGATCAGCATCCAGCGACTTTAGTGAAAACTGTGGTAAAGGCAATATGGACAATATTATAGGATGCGGATCGCCCGAGTAATATATTAGGCAAATGAAAATTCGCTTATTCTGCATGCTTGCTGCGGTGGGGGTATTTTAACTATAGGGTTTGAAACAAACTATTACTAATAAAAAATATTTTTGTAGTTGTTGAAGAGTTACCGCGGTCCTTTCCTTGACCACCCTAGATTTTTTTGGAGGAGGTTAAAATGCGTTTACACGCTCTGAGATGCTCAATATCCTCTCGGTAGTGCCGGACTTCTGCGGGAACAAAGACCCTCAAAACCATCAACAAAAAAACCTCATCTCTTAGGACACTAGCCTGGCAGATTTCGATTACATTGACCATATCAACGTTAGTAGGTAATTCCATAGACTTACCAATAGGGAGTTGGCCTGTGTTTTATCCATGGTAAAACATAGCATCACATTTTCAAACGCACTAAAATAATAAATAAACAACTAAAATTACAAATTTTTAGGTGTACGGTATTTGCCCAAATTCGATTAGAAAAAGACGTTGTATATCAAAATATCGTTTATTGAAAAACACATAACAAAACATTTGTTGTAAAACTTTCTAAAACCATAAAAATGTAAACGTAAGAAAAATTATACAAAATAAAATATATAGACGTACCGTATATAAAATGTGAGTAGTCAGGTGATGATGATGTTGTAGATGTCCTGGGCCACTAAGCATAATGTTAATGTGGATGTCTGGGGATCTTCATACTTCTGCGGTCGTGCCTGTTGTCGTTAATGGTGTTGCGGTTATGCATTACTCTCTTGTATTCAGGGAAAGCTTTTTTGTGAAGTCTAGGTTGTTCTTTGTGCCACTGACTCTCGGACATTCGGCGGGCAAAGTTTTTGTCTTTGGCGGGTAAGTGTGGCACACCGACAGCACCTGGTAGAGCCTAAGGGAAAAAATAAAAGGCTGATGAGTAAAATTGTCAGCTGTTTTTTTTTAACACATTCCAATTATAAGTTAAGCCATTATGACTTTTGGATACAGAAGGTTAAGCATACATTTTATTGAATTTCACCATTGTGAGAACTCTCCTTATTTGCCGAAGATCTAATAAGGTGATCATATCTGTTGGAAAAGCTCATCCTATGTAAATGTATCTGCTTTAGATTTACAATCAAAAGTCGTAAATACTTCAGTCCACATTTTACAATAAATAAGTAATTTAAGTGAATTGTTTAAGTTTAACAATAGCATAAGCAGTATATTAAATGTCACAGAATAAGGAGTTCAAAGTCGATGATTCAGATTTAAAATAAGAAGTCTCATTTTAATTTAATTTTGTATGTTTACACGCCACTAGCATTAAAAATGTCTAGGGACTTGTAGTATTCTATGGCAATGATTCTCATTTTGGATTTTGCGATAAGCTAATACTTGAAATATTCAAAGTCAACATTAGTTCTCAATAGAAATCTACTAACAGTTTCAATGTGAATGAATGAGCTACTATTTAAGTTGTAGATATTATAGCATATGTTCTTAGACTCACCTCTCCAGGCAAAACCTTTCCTGTGTCATCGTCCACGACTCTCTTCAGAACATGGTCCTGGACAAGCTGCACAAGCTCTGCCTTCTGGAATAAAGACAACAATGGAACAATGATGCTTAAAAGGCTTGCATTCATTAATGCAAAGATCGTCTTCATCATAAAGTTCTTGTAAACTACACAACCCATTGACTCCGAGTACCTATGTAGTTTACAAACTGTTCAGAGAAAAACCGGATATAAAGGTGAAACAAAGCATGTTAATGTGAAAAATAGCAAGCAACTTACCAGCCTTTTTATGTTGTGTTTAAATTTATTGATACAATAAAAAATAAAGATCAATTATTCTATCGTAGACAGTATTGTGAAAATCTAAACGACTTTCATGATCTTGAGTTATTAAAAAAACTACATACTGCCAACAAATTAACATATAGGGCCTATCGAATTTGTTGAAATAAGAATAACTTGATGTAAGGAAGCATTTAGTGATATATTTAATAAGTTTTCTTTCCAAGGGCCTAAAATTAATAGTATATTTCATGACTAGGGCCCAAAGTAACTCTTTTTGCCCGTGTGGTGAACTATATTTTTTACAATCGAAATTTACAACTAAGTTGATAACAGCTGATTTTTACCCTTACATGGCAACAAACCTCATGACTAGACAAATTTTCTTTTGCCTGGTTGTATAGTACTTTCACTTAAATATCTAGGCTAAAGAAAATTCACTTTCCTCCCCTATTTAAATAACATTAGTTTAACGAGTACTTTGGTTTTCTGTCACAAGTAAGGCAATATATTGTTTTTTAGTAAAATGATAATAGTTTAGTAAGAGATAAATACATTTTATAGATTTCATCAAAATATCATTATAAATAAGCAAACTACAACAGTTTACTAAATCTCCATAAGAATGACACACGAATCCCCATAAGCTCCCGTTCACATAGTATGTTCATGCTGGTTCGCAAACTCGTTTGAGTAAAACTAAGTTTTTTTACACGTTTGTAGCAAATTTCATCAAAATCGCATGGTTTAATTTAATGAATTATGCTGAAGGTCACACACACACACATATAAAACAAATTTATATGAATAAGTCAAAACATATAATGTTTCCTCTCAAAACGTATGGAAAATTCTCTAAAAATACTTGGATACCAGTTTCACTATAAATGTTACAATACTGTACAATGTTTACAACTTGTGTAAAACCTTTTTTCACCACACTTGTGCCCTTTGTATTATAGGTAATTTTTATTACAACTAGTTTTACTTGACATATTAATGCATTTGTCATACCTCTCCTTTGTTATTTTCTTCCACACTGTCTACTTCTTGGCTGACTATCTTCTTCCCCATTCCTGTCTCCTGAAAATATTAGTTTTTTTTTATATTTCATACCTTGGTAAAAATTATAACAGGGATATAATATGCTGCTTAGTTAAGACTAGAGCACGACCAGTGGTAGAAAAATCGACCAAGTATGTATTGTTCAAACTTCTCTATTTTCACCCAACACTGTAAATAAAACATGTGATTGGAATGTCTTCCATTTGTTTAGATTTTCTGTTGATATTTTGTTGTTATTTTGTCATCACCATGGCAACCCATAAGACCCATGTTAATTATTTCAAAATTTCAAATTAATTTTTCGTGCTTATTTGTGAGTCTATTTTAATTTATAAAGGGACTCTGCACATCTAAAGGTAAATATCTTTCATTTGGTACCAACCGCGTGTAATTCGGCCCAGTAGTATGGTCAGGCTAGCTGTCATAAGTTTTGCAAAAGTTTTTAGTATATAAGGTGACATATTTTTAGGTAATCCATTTCGTAAATTGATCAATACAGCAAACTTAATATAAGTGGTTCTTTAAGTTGCCTCTGTAATTCAAACGTAAAGAAAGTAAGATTTAGTAACATTCATCATTAAATACGGTATAGTTAACAAATAATTTTAACTGTCAAGGCTTCAATCATTTAAAAATACAAAAGCACATTTAAACTGTTATGTGTAAAATGCTATAAAGAATGACAAAAATCCTACCACTTACCTGTTTTGGTAGACAAACCACACATGAAAAAAGAAATGAAGACAGAAGAACAACGTGGCACAACATTGTTGATCTTGACTATGTGTCTTGAAGGCGCAAACTGAATTGTAAAATGAAGACTCCTTTATATAAACAAAAACGATGACATAAATTCACAAAAGTCATGACATTGAAATGTTGTTGATAACATCTTTATTATACGCAAGTCGGAAACAGTAGAAACTTCTAGTCATCATTCTACAGTAAAGATTAGATATAAGATCAAGATCGGATCAGTTACAATCTAATGGGTGCCGATGTTAAGAATTTAAATAATGCGCATTAGAATGTTCTAGAACGTTCAGTATGTAATGTTATGTAATGTTTTTCTGACAAATATTGCATAAT